CCCCAAAACCCCAAAACCCCAAAACCCCAAAACCCCTTTAGCAATGAATTACAAATATTAAATGGAAAACAAAAGTATTTAATGTTTGCTTAAAGTAGAATTATAATTGAGTAAATTTATCAAATCTATTTAATTAGCATTGTTTAAACTATTGAATATAATATGAAACATTTTAGGTCAAAAGCATTTAAACAAATCAATGGTTTTGTGAAAACTATGATCTCAGCATTGATAAACTCATACCCATTGATGAGTCTAATCCGATGGTACCTCCATGACCTCCGAATGCATGGTTGCCCTTATAGTATCTATTTCTTGATAGGAAATTAGATATCATAAGATTTTGGATGTCTTCTTCCTTGGACATGAAATTGGGAGAGCCTTTCATCATGATTCCACTGATAAGTTTTGGGTTAGAGTATTTGTGATGGTCAATGCTTTAGTCAATATTAGTCTCTTATCTGATTAAAGCTTGTCTCTTTTCCTCAATCTCATACTCATCAATCTGCTATAGTTTCGAAGACAATTCTTTATTCATTGTTGCAATTCTTGAAGTGTTTACCTAGTTTTGATTGGCATCTTGCATTTTCTATTCCTCAGAGATTTATTAATTCAAGGGTGGCTCCTACTTAGATAAGTCCTCAGCATAAAAACCACCATGCTTATTTGAGTAGGCATTTAGATTGGCCTCAAAGTAATATTGATAGGCAGTCTCCTGGTTTATGAAGGGGTTTTCATTATCTGATAGCATGGAAGTATTGACTGAATTATTAGTTTCAGCATCTTGATAATTATTGCGAGCCAAAGATGTTGTTAGTGACTGTGAATCTTTGTACTTCTAGTATTTGCTTCTCTGTTGATTGCCTCTTATTCTATTTATAGTTAGATTTTGTTGTTTATTTTTTTTGCCATCTTTATCCATATTTTAAGGCACGAGAGTGATGTTAGTTTTAGGTTTTGCATCCTCTGATAAGTGCCAATTTTGTTCTTCCTTGTTATCCAATTTATCACCTAAAAGAGGCTCATCTAAGATCCATCTCTTATGAATATTCTAGGCCATTTAAACAGCAACAAGTCCTATAAGTCCTATTCTATTCTTGATATAACTTGGTTGCTTTTATATTAATCTTCTCTGTACTTTCTCATTCATTAGTAAGATAAGTAAAATTCCAAACAAAGTCAAAAGGCCTATATATTTTTAATTCAAATATTTTATCAAGTTATAGTGTAATTACTTAGATTGAGAATGAGCATTGGAAGATGTGAATATCTCTCCTTTATAGGCACATTAAGACTTTATGCCAGGCTTGTGAATTGAAGTTAAATGTTCTGGTGGTTCTGCTATGATAATATCTAATCTTGATCCATTTTTATATTTAAATCTCTATAAATGTTAGTTCATAAAACATATTATAGCTCCGAGGGGTTTTGGGGTTTTGGGGTTTTGGGG